AGTGAAAGATTAGTTTGCAGAGTAATTAGATCGTAGTGAAAGATTAGTTCACAGTGAAAGATTAGGTTGCAGAGAGTAGTTCGTTTGCAATGATAGATTAGTTTACAGTGAAAGATTAGTTTGCAGAGTAATTAGATCGTAGTGAAAGATTAGTTCACAGTGAAAGATTAGGTTGCAGAGAGTAGTTCGTTTGCAATGATAGATTAGTTTACAGTGAAAGATTAGTTTGCAGAGTAATTAGATCGTAGTGAAAGATTAGTTTGCATAGTAATTCGTTGGTAGTGAAAGATTAGTTCGCAGAGAGTGATTTGTTCGCAGTGAGTGATTCGTGAGTTCAATATGAATAAATATTTAATATGACTCGGTAGTCACGAGTCACGAATCTTTCATATGACTCGGGAGTCACGACTCATGTGAAAGATTGGTTCATTTTGAACGAATCACTGGCGAACGACACATCACTACTATTCCAGACTGGTTGCTTGGATCATTCGCGGCCTGCGGACTGTATTTTCGTGTGAGTGATAATATTTAACACCACGATTCAAAATTCCTATTCAGACCTATTTGTAGGATTCTTACCGATTTGGAGCCTCTAACGACTGTCTATTTTTAAAACCCGCGATGTAAGGTTTTTGCTAGTGATAGTATAACTCCATAACATTCACCAATGTAATCATATAGGCTAAGCTACGCTAACTGCTCCCACATAAACATCTTAGAGGCGATGCTACCTTGTTAGCTAAATTAGCCTCGAATTGATTGGAAATGGCAGGTACAGGATGGGTTCAGAATATCTTAACACCAACTTGAACCTTATTCCACAGATACAACACCCACCACCTGGGTGTTTTATACATAAATATACACACATTCGCGTTAAATCCTTTTGACAGCAATTAATAGCGATCTTTACTGCTGCTCCACTTTCTGATGCTGGTATGCAGAGTTCCCACGTGGTAATTGCTAACTTATTAATTGTTAGTATAAACTTTTATCCTGTGATTTGTTATCAAGTTTTGAGTTAAGCTGATAGCGCCCCAGATTTATTGTATGGGTTGTTGGCGTGAGATGCATGTCTATAGTTGATATTTGTTTTGTTCCTGCAGGATGAAAGCTCTGGACTAGATCATAGTCCATCAACAGGAAGATTCAAGAAGCCGTCAAGGACTCAAAAAGGAAATATGGCGTGCCCAAACTATGGCAGCCTAAGCAAGGCTCAACTCACCTTTGAGTACCTGCACACAAATTCGTAAGTACTGCACTCAATGGGAAGTCAAGTATTTTTTGTTGATCCAGTTTTTGTGATCACGTTGCTATATGCGATCATGTGAGTGATTGCAAAAATTTCTTTCCCAGCAATTGATGAACTTTTGTCTGTTTTCAGGACAACTCATGAGTTCTTATTTGGAGCCTTGGCTGAGCTTGTTGATAATTCAAGGAAGGGGTTTTTATTGTTGCAACTATATACAAACTAAAGCTTTAACTGTTTTTTAAATCTAGTTCTAATCCGGCTGTTGGTTTGTTTCTTTCAGAGATGCTAATGCCACACGAATAGACATTTATACAGGTACATTTTTAAAATAAAAAAATAGCATATCAGTTAATGTATAACTTATAATTCCTGACTTTAATTAACCTGTCTTTTGACAGAAAAAAGGACAGAGTTGCGGGGTGGCTACATGTTGTGTTTCCTGGATGATGGAATTGGAATGGATCCCAGTCAGTGACCTTACTGCTACTTTACTTGAAGTTTTACTTTTTCCTTATGTTTTAGTTTTGTTTCTGGTCATTCTGACCTGGGTTGGTCATTGTATCATTTTTGTGTAAAAATTAAAAATGAACAACCTTCTTCTTTCCAGATGAAGCAATGCATGTTATTCATTTCGGAAAGTCAAACAAGAGGTCACCTGTGTCCACTCAGATTGGACAGTATGGAAATGGACTGAAATCGTAAGGCTGCAACGGTGTCATTCTGGGTTGTTTTTGGAAAAAAAAAAAAAAATCAAATACTAAAACATGTTTGTTTTTTCACAGTGGCTCTATGCGTATTGGAAAAGATTTAATCTTATTCACAAAAAAAGGAAGTTCACTGACTTGCCTTTTCCTGTCAAGGACATTTCATGAAGAAGAAGGGCTGGGTGAGGTCTGTGTAAATTATTTGTTTTACTACTATACTAATATGTTTCCTTATTGGGTATTTGCCTAAAAAATATAAACCAGTTTAACCAGATTTGAGAAAATCCACAAATCTATTCAAGGCAAACTCTTCAGAAATGCAATACATAAAACATGTCAATTGTATCTTCTTTTAATAATTGCTTCTAAAATTCTGTCTCTATACTGGTCTCTCTTCAGGTGATTGTTCCCTTACCTTCCTGGGATCTCAAAACAAAGGAGCCTCTGACATCTGACCCAGAGAAGTATGCCATAGAGACAGAGCTGATCTTCAAATATTCACCTTTTAAAAACAAACAGCAGCTGATGGAGCAGTTCAACAAAATAGAAAGCAGCAGTGGTGAGCAATGTTCTCAAACGTTACCGTGGGTTGTTTATAATGCTTCCAAATAACACAGATAATAAATTCCTCCACTCTTTTCAGCCTTATTTCTTACACATTAATTTGTTTGATATTCAATATTTGTTCAAAGGGACCCTTGTGATCATTTATAATCTGAAGCTGATGGACAACAGAGAACCAGAGCTCGATGTAGAGACGGATCGTCAAGACATTCTCATGGCTGGGACACCTGCAGAAGGAGTGTAAGAAGTGGTAACTGTGTATTTGCAAAGCTGACTTCACAGACTTACAAAACTCATGGCCACTGTTGTTAAGCAGCATGTCCCAACAGTTTGCATGATGTCTTGCAGGAAGCCAGAGAGGAGATCATTCAGAGCGTATGCTGCTGTTCTGTACATTGACCCACGGATGAGGATTTTCATACAGGGACACAAAGTCAGGACTAAAAGACTGTCATGTTGCCTTTATAAACCAAGGTTAAATATGTATATTATACACAGTGTCTGTATCTTCTTCATTTAAATGAGAGATTTTTCTAGAACTTTTTTTTGTCTATAGGGTTTATAAATACTCCTCGACTCGCTTTAAAACTCGAGCAGAGCAAGAAGTCAAGAAAGCAGATCACCTTGCAAAAATTGGTGAGTTTGTACTGTTTTTTTACTAATTAAATTTAACTTGGCCTGGCCTAACTGCTATGTGTCTTTTTTTTTTTTACAGCTGAGGAAAAAGCCAGAGAGGCTGAAAGCAAACGCATGGACTTAGAGGCCAGATTAGGAGACGATATTTCGAAAGATTCCCGGGTATGCCAAAAGATTCCATACCTCTAACACTAATGCTTTTGTTACCTGGAGTTAAAGAGTGACATTGTGATGGAAAAACTAAAAAAAATCGTCTATTTGTCTAGGTGATTTTGAGAAAGGTTCATGATTCAGCCATGATGCTGCAACGTGATGCTGACATGAAAAAAAGGATTCTTGAAGCCAAACAGAAGTATGATTTAAAAAAAAATTGATTTTAATAAGATGTAATGGAACAACATATTTAAATTCATTATTTGGCAATATTGATCACTTTTTAAATCTAAACTTATCATAAATTTGTGTTGTATGTGTTAATGTGCATAATTTCTTTTTCTTTTTTTTTTTTGCTCAGAGCCTTAAAGGAGCCCAAGGAATTGAATTTTATATTTGGAGTGAACATTAAACAAAGAGATCTGGATGGGATGTTTGTGTACAACTGCTCCCGTCTCATTAAAATGTATGAAAAGACAGGGCCGCAGCTGGAAGGTGGCATGTGAGTGTATTGTACACAAAGGTTTTGCAGTGAAATATTTAATTTTGATGCCAAAGATTGGGTGATGACAATTTGAAAACATACATCAACAACATACATCAAACAACATCTATAATATCTACACTGCCGGTCAAACGTTTTAGAACACCCCAATTCTTCCACTGTTTTTACTGAAAATTATGCCGTTTAATGTCTCATTGCACTCAGACGTGAAAGCATAGTACAAATAAGCAATTGGAGTCAAAAAAGAAATGATGGAATCAATTTATAGACCAAAATGTATTCTAAACTGTTGACTCATCAAAGTAGCCACCTTTGGCAGATATAACAGCTGAACATACACGAGGCATTCTTTCTACAATAGAGATCAAATATTCTTCAGAAAGTTCTTCCCATGTCTGTTGCAGAAGTTCCCATAAATGTGTGGCACTTGTGGGTTGCTTTGCTTTCACTCTTCTGTCCATTTCATCCCAAACCAGCTCAATGGGGTTTAAGACTGCAGACTGTGCTGGCCACTCCATGTTTTCAAGTTTACCAGCTTGTTCTTTTTTCG